GTGTCTCAAATCCAATTCCCAGGTGTTGGGCCACTATCTGACCATTTATCGCATTTATTTGGACGGACACTGTCTGGAACCACCCGCCCGTCTACTGCCCCTCAATTTGGCCGAAGATAACGAAAATACCAATCAAAGTGATTACTGCTCCATCATGTAGTGCCATAACCCTGGTCATTATAGTTGCGATATGTATTTATAAATTTATAAAAGATGCTAGTTACATGTTTTAGTCATTTTTATTAATTTTTATAATTATATCTGTATTTTCCAAATAAAGTTAATAAATACCACTATATATAACAGTTTTGTATTACTTTTGATTACATTTTATTTGATATTCAATTACTTATGGCATAAGTCTTATGCGAATAAAAACAAAAAAATATTAATTCATGTATTCATCGATCGGTGAGTGTATGTAAAACAAAGACAACACATTTTTGTGGTTGTATTGAGCGATGATTGAGAGATAATTGAATGAAAACAAGTACTAAATGAGCCACTTATAGGTGACATGAAGTGTCTGTATGTATAATATATCTCATGTCAAGTGTATGGCCAGTGAATCCCAATTTTGTTTGTGTCAGACGTGATCACTGGAAAACTTGATATGAAAGGTTAACCACCAATATATATATATATATATATATAACTGATGACTGATGAATATATTTATTTGCTTAAATGTTGCATAAAATTTCCATTGAAAGTATGAATGCATTAGTTCTCATAAACTTTTATAAATTTTAAAATAAATTTTCCATTTAAATCGTAAACCATTCAAACTTTTGAGGATTTAATCAATACCTTAAATAATTGATAAAACAAGTTATTTTTGGATTTTTCAGAAAATGCTGCTTTAATTTCTCATTGTAAATAATAATTACATTTGTTTTTCTCAATATATATCAACAATTTGTATATAAAAAATAATAATAATAATAACAATTCGTTTTCTTATAACAAAAATTATTATAACATTTGAATTGAGGAGAAAAATAATTCTTTAAAAAATACATAATCTTATGATTAGATAACTTAAGGGGTTTATGAGAGACAATAGAGGTTTTGTATCAGGGCAATAATTAAGTGCTATTTTCAACATAATTCATGAGAAAATTATGAGAAAAAACACGACGATTTGGATGTCTAATAAGCTATGGATGTCTAGAGACTAATCTATTTCCACGGGTTGGACAGGAGGGCGGGTCCGTGTCCGTAGCCCAGAGCGGGTCCCGCACCGTAGGCCAGAGCGGGTCCGTGTCCGTAGGCCAGGGGAGCGGCGTAACGGGCGATGGGGGCGGCGTACGACCTGACGAGTGGGGCCGAGTGGGCCACGGCTAATGGGGCGGCGTATGAGCGGAGGACGGGGGCGCCGTGATAGGCGGGGGCAGCCAACACAGCGGGTGCGTGATAGGCGGGTGCGGCGGCCAACACTCGGGCGGGCTCGGCGGTGATGATGGGCGCGGAGCTGAGGTAAGTGGCGTCGCCAACGTTGGAGGTGGCGGTTCCGGGCTATATGGGGGGCGCAGACAGACCGTTAGGCATATGTGTGGGTAGGGGTGGATGCGATGGGCATTACTTCGTTGGTTCCGATGGTGGCTCGGAAACCGTGAGCGTCGGCCACGTAGTCGACACGTCTGGATCGGCCATCGGCATCCTTGATGGTATAGGAGCCGACTTTGTTGCCATGAGCGTCACCCTTCTCTTCCCGTCCGTTTTGGGCGCCCCACTAGTTATCCGCACAAATGGTTTTGGTATTAGGTTTTGCTTTTTTATATGAAATTATTTCAACACTTACTTCGTCTACGATATCATAACCGAAGGCATAGTTTCCCCAATCCTTGAAGAGATATGAGAGAGAGAAAGATAGATAAGAGATATGAGAAAAACAATCACTTTATATATTATTATCAGTTTTATTAGTGAAGATATTTGTGGTATCATTACGTCTTGGCTTCTGCTGGACACAGATTGGCCGCCGGGGAGGGCCTGCGCTAAGGCTATACAACACACTAATGGTACGAAAAACTGTCGGAAAAAGTGAAAACACAAAATCAATCGATATATCAATTGCGAGAAAGTCGTCAAAACATTTGGCGACTAATAATATTACGATTAGAAAACTTGTAAAAAGTTTTCCAAACATTTATTAAACAGAAAAGTCGATAAAATAGCAGTGAATTCATTGGCAACGTTATTCAATACCTTCATTTTGGGTTTAAATTAAGGTTTAAATAAGTTTTGAACTTAAATAAGTTTGGATCCAAAGACCACTTTATGAAAGTAAGTGAAAACTAATGAATGAATTCTGTGGATAAAAATCTCGCTTTTATATACCGTTTCGCGAATGTGTTTTCTAACGGTGTTCACACAATTGGCATCCGATTCCACACACGCCCTTCCCCACCAGTCCCACCAACACTGGCAAAGGCTACCAAATACATACACATAGCACAGATACCCGTCCCAAAGTCAGTCAGTTGTAGTAGTCGTGTGCATAGAAAAAACACTTTCACTAGTAATACAATTACGAAACAATCCGAAGGCAATGTCCGACTTTTTTACTCTCAATTTTTTCTCACTTAACAACAACTACTACTCCAACCACTCATAGGATTACTCCAGAAATTCTTCCGATCTCTCTCTCTCTCTCTCTCTCTCTCTCTCTCGCACTCACTCTCCCGTATCATTCAATACATATATTTAAAGGGCGTTTTGATTATTAAATCCAGGCGTGGATTGCATTGAAAATCTATACACAACTCTATCTCACTTGTCGAGAGAGAGAGAGAGAGAGAGAGAGCTGGTAAGAGAGAGCACAATAATCACGTGAAAATCGTTTCTCTCACTAACCTTAACCTGGAAAAAATATACACAAACTGTTAAGACTAAGGGATCGGGAGAATGAGTGTGCGTTTGAGTGAGAATTATAAAAATGATTTTTTTGTGTGGAATTGAATGTAAGGTTTTCTATAACCGCAGGTGACCTAATAATTGTATCCACATACACATACCTGTCTGTGCACTCCTATAATAAGTGTAAGTGAGTGAGTGAGTGAGCGAGAGAGAGAGAGGGAGAGAGAGAGAGAGAGAGAGAGTAGGAGAGTGGCCACCACTGGATCACTAACGGCTATACTAACCGTCTATTGCTATTGAATTTTAATATGCGTTCAAAAACTGATTATTAAAATTAAATATAAATATTTAAATCAAAAGTGTTCATTCATATAATTGTCAGGAATTTAGCGTTGAATACATTATTGCTCTGAGCGACAACGCCTTTATCACAACTCACTTATAATTTAATCACAATTTTTTGGAGATTCAGACTATGAGTTTGGATAGGAATTTATGAAAGAGAGAGAGAGAGAGAGAGAGAGAGAGAGAGAGATAAAGTGTAGGAGAGTGGCCACCACTGGATCACTAACGGCTACACTAACCGTCTATTGCTATTGAATTTTAATATGCGTTCAAAAACTGATTATTAAAATTAAATATAAATATTTAAATCAAAAGTGTTCATTCATATAATTGTCAGGAATTTAGCGTTGAATACATTATCGGGGAAATTGATTTTAATATGAACTTTAAATTTAACACAATATCATAGATAAGTTTATATTGTATTAAACGGCGCACTCCTGACCCCAACTGTCAAACCCCGTGATTGTGACCCCAACTCGTGTCTACATATATGAGTGACATTTGAGCTCAATTTGTAGCGCATTTTTCTAACTAAGCATGGATAATTTTGCCACATTTACATACGCTACGAAAAATATATGTAATTTTTATGCAAACTACGAATTGGCGCGTATAATAAAAGCATTAATTTTTTTATTATACAAAATAATTGTTATAATCTCTCGATAGGTATACACACTGTTATGTATATTGTATTGTGTGTCCGATAAAAATCAAAATAATAATAATAACAAAAAATTGATTAATTGTGCCCTTTAGACAAAAACGTGAACAAATAATGAACACAACAGTGTGTTTTGACAGTTATTCCCTACTCCATCCCAGTCCCCTTTGCCATAGTCGACAGTATATTACACAGGGCTGAGGTATTAAGCAAAAATGTATTATATAACATAATACTTATTATAATTTTCTGTAGTCATTTTATGATTGCTTACACAATAGCGAGTGTTTATTAGAAATATCCATTCATTTCGCAAAAAGGGTTTTGAATTTTAATGTATTTATTAATTGTTTGGTTTAATTGTTATAAAGTTTTTTATATGATGATGAGAGTATACAGTAATAATCATATTTCGTTGCAACAAAAAACAAATTTATTTATTAAATTCGTTGATAACATCTTTTTTAAAATTAAAGTCTGTAGTTTTGATGTAATATTTATAGTGTTGCTTAAAAATTAATGGTATTTTTTTCTGGGGTACCCATTCAAATAGGCTTAAGAATTAATATATATTTGCTAAATAAATGAATTAAAATAAATTATAGCTCGCAATGATTTATAGTAATTCTCGGTCTATAGGGTAGTGAAAAATACATATTTTAACACAATTTAATATTAATGCAACACTTTTGCATTGAATCAATGAATAACTACTACTGTGTGTATTGTATAACAAAAATTATAGTCATTTCAGTGTCTCCCCGGGTCTGCCATTCATTTCAATATTCAGTTTTATTATTGTATTTATTTTGCCTAATAATAATTATTATTGTATATTTAAATAAATAATATTTTCTCTCTCATTGAGTGATAAATATTTGCTATTATTTTTTTCACTGCATTCCACAGAATAAATAAAATACAGTAAAATAAATGTTTAGATAAGTGGGAGTGAGGGGTCAGTACTGGAAAAGTACAGCAAAAATCTAGTCTTCAAATACTTTCACTCTTATCATTGATTTTATTATTTTATTTTGTGTTGTCTTTCTTCTCTCTCTCTCTCTCTCTCTCTCTCTCTCTCTTTCATAAATTCCTATCCAAACTCATAGTCTGAATCTCCAAAAAATTGTGATTAAATTATAAGTGAGTTGTGATAAAGGCGTTGTCGCTCAGAGCGCTGGTAGTGTATGCGAGAGAGAGAGAGAGAGAGAGAGAGAGAGAGAGAGAGAATAAATTGAATTGAATTCATATTTTGATATTTGGGTCGATTCGATCGGCAGACCATTTATTATATACACTGTATTAATATATGAATTATTATTTATACATAACTATAAAGTTATATAATTTTTTTGCTTTCTCTCTCTCTCTCTCTCTCTCTCTCTCTCTCTGTGACTCTCTCTCTCTCCCATCTCCCCTCAAAACCACTACATATCTCTCACCCGTTTGGGTGATCGCCATAAAAGTCTTGAAAATATTTGTGTGTCTTAAGCGTCCAAAAGGCTATTCAATTGATTTGTGTGCTCAACACATATAGGGCTCGCAATTCAATATGAAATTTGTTTCTCATTTAACACTTTCGACAAACATTAATATTAATGAATGACTTTTCTATCATTATTTATATATATCGTATCATTAATTCTAATTAAATAATATTATTTATTGTATTTTATTTATTTCACACATTTTCTCATACCTAATAATCATTACGAATTGGTATTAATGATGATGGTGGTAAATAAAATTTGCTGATTATTTTGTAGTTAAATGTACGAGGATACTATTAAGATACTAATATTGAAATCTAACGCTTAATAGATTTGGCAGTAATATTGGCAACAATTTTCCACTCAATTCAAGTGCTATTAAATTACAGCAAACCTATGGATTAAATACAGATAATTGGCTCCGAGTTCTCCTTTCATTTGAATTTTGTGTTCAATAAAAATATTTTATTTCTTTTTCTTCTCTCCACATCTCAAACATCACTCAAACAAATAAAAAAACACTTTTTATGTTAACCTGAATTGCAATTGAATTGTGAATTATATGAAAGACAAGCAGTTTATTATATATGAATGCTTATTCACTGAATAGACGTACAGTATAAATTTATTTGTTCACATTAGAAATATATAGCAATATGTACTGTACTGTACACTACATACTGAAACTTACAGTATGTGTGAGCTATGCATTACTTAAGTTTTACAGTTTTAATGATATAAAACATACGTCTATTCTGCTAATAAGCGATCATATACACTTAAATAATATTTACCAGTATATATTGTATTGATTGCAACTGCTCTCTCTCTCTCATCGGTCCCGACGCTGACGCAGAGGTCCGTCCGTTCATATATTATCATCATTTATAATGTGTCCCTCCCTTCCCATTACTACCAGCGCTCTGAGCGACAACGCCTTTATCACAACTCACTTATAATTTAATCACAATATTTTGGAGATTCAGACTATGAGTTTGGATAGAAATTTAGTGCAGTTTTTCAGATCTGAAAGGAAAGGAAAAACTAAAACAAAGTTTATGATAATTTTTGTGACATTTTTATAAACTGAATATAATTTTTGTATACATAATCCATATTTGTTTACTCATAGTCTTTAATCTTTAAAGTTTTAGCATCCAAAAACAAAAATATCAAATAATATCAAATTCTAGCATAAAATGCATATTAAACTACAAAAAAAGTCCATTTCCTGTAATCTTATCATTGATTCAATTAAACCATTTTTGTCGGAGTTTTCGGAATTGAATTGATTTTCTTATTATTTTTTATTGATTTCCATAATTATTATTAAAAAGGAAAAAATGTTTTATTATAAGTGAATAAAGGGTTTTTAATTATATAACATAATTTACACATTTTTAGCCACAAGTTTGACAACTTATTTATTGATAGAAAATATACAAGTCAACAGTTATTGGGGAAAATAGTCAAATAATATTTTCAGACATTTATTGATGAAATTCAGTTCAAATCATTCAGACACATTTAATTTTATATTAAATTTTAAATTTTATTTCAAATTCAATTTCTCAACGATTTATTCACAAAAAATATACTGAAAACCAATCATTAATTTTTACACAACATATGAATTACTAATCCTTTTGAGAGTATCGTTGCAAAGGATTAAACACTTTTAATATCATAATAATAATCTCCAAACCAAAAAGTGTTTGTCAAATATAAGTTTTTACTGTATTTGTATTTATTTTTAATTAATAGTAGAGTAATAGTGAGACACAAAAAACATAATTCATATTTCATATAATAATCTGTTTATAATCTCATTACCGAAAAAATATTTATTTCCATAATTATTATTAAAAAGGAAAAAATGTTTTATTATAAGTGAATAAAGGGTTTTTAATTATATAACATAATTTACACATTTTTAGCCACAAGTTTGACAACTTATTTATTGATAGAAAATATACAAGTCAACAGTTATTGGGGAAAATAGTCAAATAATATTTTCAGACATTTATTGATGAAATTCAGTTCAAATCATTCAGACACATTTGATTTTATATGAAATTTTAAATTTTATTTGAAATTCAATTTCTCAACGATTTATTCACAAAAAATATACTGAAAACCAATCATTAATTTTTACACAACATATGAATTACTAATCCTTTCGAGAGTATCGTTGCAAAGGATTAAACACTTTTAATATCATAATAATAATCTCCAAACCAAAAAGTGTTTGTAAAATATAAGTTTTTACTGTATTTGTATTTATTTTTAATTAATAGTAGAGTAATAGTGAGACACAAAAAACATAATTCATATTTCATATAATAATCTGTTTATAATCTCATTACCGAAAAAATATTTAGGCATTTATTGTCATAAAAGTATAATTACTCTACAAAACCATATATGAGTTGTTATAGTAATTAAAATTCACAAAAACCTTTATATGCCTCTCCTTTTGAAAACGTTTGTTTTAATTGTGAAAACCATTTATAATAACCTCAGATCTTAAGTGTATTACATTTTTTTGCTTAAAACACACTTTGGTTTCAATTATAATTAATGATTAAAGAAATTGTCGAAAACTTTTTGTGTTATATTCCCTATTAAAACAAAACTTTATTATACACTATAGTAGTAATATAACTAAAGGTATTAATTTTATATAGAAATCAATGAATAAAAATCTCTCTATTAAAATAAATTTCATAATAAATATCATGAACACAGAAAAAAGTAATTTTTCTATTGAATAAAATTAATTATTTTTTGTGTAATAAATAACAATGAAAATAACTCTAAGAAAATGATTATACGGTAAACATAAAAAAAAGGTTATTATATTTGAGTAAAAATATTTTTAAAGTAATTTAAAAATCCTTTTATATTTCAAACCATAATTAATGCTATCATCAAAAATAATAGTTTTATTAAAGCGGCGAAAGTATAACAAATAAATAATTAATTATTTTCTAAACAAAACGGAGTGTACTGAAAAACTTTTACCACAAATAAATACCATAATAAAAAAGTTTTTAGTTTAGGTTATGATAGAAAAATGTTTTTTTTTCTGGTAATCAATTATCCAAAGGTGGAGATGTAAAGGGATTCCGACATAAATAAAATACAAAACTCATTGAATGATAGTTATTTTTATTTTTAAAATTTCATTTTATTTTTGTTACTTTTATTGTTTTTTATGAGTTTCTCTTGAAGTACTGTATTTCATTTATAGTGTGATTCACAATACCTTAAACACAGCTCTCACTCACAATAACCTACTTTTCTATCCGAAACTGATTATACATTTTCTTTGCTCTTACTTTTTGATCGCATTTTTGACCCTCAAATACAGGCAAACCTATCGTGAAATTCTCAATCAACTCTCTCTCTCTCTCTCTCTCTCTCTCTCTCTCTCTCGATATTAGTTCGCGATATTAAAACTCGTGCTCATATTATAAGTGAAAATCACTTATTTCTCCTCCAGTTTTGTCATTCAAAAAATTAATACCCCAGTGATTAGAGCGGGGGTTACTTTTTTCCCTATAATTATACATTATTCTCATTCAGTCACTCATTTATTTATTATTTATTTATTATTTATATATTGTTTATAAGAATTTGCAATTTTTATATTACGTTAGCTATTAATATAGAAATTATTTAAATTGAGAATTGAAGGTCAATAAAACATTGTTTTTTATGTACAATTTTTATATATAAAATTATACACATTATCTGCTCTATAATATATTTGCTCCCTTTTTCTTATTGCATACAAACTTTATATATAATATTTTGATATTTAATTTTTATGTAATAAAATGCTTTAATTATAATGTGTTTCGATAGTATTTTTTAAGAGATATTTAAAGTCATAATTAAATTTTATCATTTCATTCATAAGGCAAATATTATGATATATTTTGTACGATAAATTATACACATTTGAAACATTAGCGATACTGCGATTGCCATACTACTCTAAATTATAATTAATAATAAGTTTGTAAAGTTTTTTTCATACATTTATTATGAGTTTTGAGAAATTAGTTCTGAGTTTTTAAGTATATAATTGATGACTTGGTGAGGCAAAATGTATTGATTATATATGATATCAATATAAAATACATTTCACTGTTAACACTAAATACCAATAAAATACAGATCACACTATTACCCACATAACTGTCTTAATGTTAATCCCATTTGGAGTATGGTTTGGAGTCAAGTGAATGTATTTCATGTCATAAAATATGTATTTCTTAATATTACAGATCGATTGCGTTATTCTTACCGTTTGTTTGTTATATAAGTATTATATATAAAAAATAATAACTTCTTATGAAATTTATATTGAATACAGTTATGTGAGTGTGAGGTTTGGATGGATAGGGAGTTGTTGTTTATGTCTATATATGATTAATGCACTGATTATTATTATTGTGTGGTATAATGTATATTGAAATGCAATTTAAGGCTAGACTTTTGGATTATGAAAAGTTAAGAAATTCTTGTGTTATTTAAATAATGAAATGAATGTCTGATTAAATGTATTATGATTTGAAATAATCGTAAAAATATTTATTATATAATGAATGAATACTATTAGACTGTATTGAATCGTAAATCGATTATTCAATCCACAGAAAAACATTGTCATAAAAAAGTTTTGCAAAACTTTACTAACATTTTCATTCGCAACACTAAGCCTTGCAGTTTTGCAGTTAATTTTTCAATTAAAAATAATACAGTAATCTTTGTTTTTAATTAAAAGCACGAGTTTATCAATATGTGAATGGGAAATGTGTTTTGTGTGTAAATTTATATAATACTATAGTTGCGAAATCGTAACTACTAACAAAATAGCTATCCAAGTTTACGATAATATTTGGTTAAGACCTCTAACTTTTATATTGTTTATATTAAATTATAGCGTATAAACTTTATTATTTATAATAATGTTCAAAACGAGTATATTAAAGTAATATTATAAATAAAATACTATTTAAATTTGTTTTATTTATAAGAATGCTTAGTTTCAAAGGTATTTAGTTAGCGATTTGAAATGACAACAAAAATAAAATTTTAAAAATTAAAGACAAACATAAATATTTTGTTTTAGAGAATCCATTAGTGAACCGAAAAAAGTAATTTCAAATTTTCTTTAGAATTCAGACAAAACCCAAACATTAAAAGTTTTTAATGAATAAAATATCACACATTTTATATATTTATTAACTATAGTAATAGATATAAAAAAAACTGAAGGCTAACTAACAACAAAGCAAAAACAAAAAGTTACTTCAAATATATTGTAATCAAATGCAATGATATTATTGTTTTGGTCACAAACTTATAGCATAATACAATGCTTCACATTTATTATAGTTTTTTAATGATTTGTGTTTTGTCAAGAATTTCAAGAATTTTTTAGCTTAATAATCAGCAAAATAACTAAACATAAAATCTCAATTCAACTGTTATTTTGCACTCCCTTATAGTGAACGCAATAAAAAGATTTATTATTATTATTCCTATTATTAAATTATTAAATGGATTTAAATCTCTCAAAAATAAATCCCTATTTCATTAGAAAGACACCACTTATGAGTGTTGCCTTCAAACACATCGGCAACACATTAAAAGGGATTACTTTTGAAATTTGTTTTACTTTTTTATGTGCAAAATACAATCAAATGATTCAATTCTCTCAGCAATTCATTACTGAATCTAATGTTTTAAATGAGAGCAAAACAATAGAAAATTCTTGAGTATATAATACCGTTAGCAATGATATTATAGTGGAAAATATAATTACTTTACAAAATCAAAATTGAATGACAAGTTCATGAAAATCGTAGCTAGTTTATCCATTATACCCACTTCACTATATATTGTATATTAATATTATTGTTAATAATAAATAATTATTTGTATATAAAACCAGGAGTGATGTATAAATCATTTGTTGTTTTGTTGTTTTCTTTGTTACAGAAGTGTATAGTATTTTGTTGTGCGAAAGTAAATAATTTATTTATTCAGTTCTCATATATTATAATATAATCATAATATAAAACATTAAATATTATATATTTATAATATTATTATATATACTAATAAAACGATAAATGATTTCATGCCACAATATTTTATACGCATACGATATAAGAGCAATATTAATTACTTTATAGTTAAATATAATATATATAAAAGACTTTTTTGTCCAACACATGAACATATCAATCACTTTCATATTTATTACATTATAATTCAATTAAATATAATTTTTGCTAAATAACTGAATTAAAGATTGTAGAGAGAGGGAGAGAGAGAGAGAGAGAGAGAGATTAATTAGTTAATAAAATAATGAATAATAGATAATGTACAAAACTACAATATTTTAAAAATTGCAAACTTGTGTGTGTGTGTGTGTGTGTGCTAAACATTTTTCTATAATATTTAATGTTTTTAACATAATTTTGATTTTAATGAAAAATTGTTATTTTTTCAAAACATTTTTAGGTTAAGTAAGACTTTGTGTCAAAATTAAAACACATATTTATTTTGTTGTTTTTGTTGATCATTATTAATAGCCTTATATGACATTACATGAAGTTTGACTTCTCGCGCGGCTATTAGCGCCGTTTGACTTTGCTTTCTGGCACTTAAAACATCCCTGTCCTCCATCAGCCCCGTCTACCTCGCACTCCACGCGCTCCCTGTTCTCCCTATTAGTCACTAATGAGTTATTGATTGTATTGAGTCTATCGATAGCCGCCACCGACTGGTTGTGTCCTTCAACGGCAAGTAATGAACTATTTTTCTCATTATTTTTTGCACTATAATTAAAAATCTTGTTGTTATCGGTGGCGGTGTTGATGCCATCAGATAGTGATAATTGTTTGGCTAATTGAAAGTGCATTAAATCGTTTAGCTGTTTGCAACTACTGTACGCGTTTGTCATTGAGAGCACAGGTAGTAGCGATTTGTTGTGGTGGCGGTGTTGATGCCATCAGATAGTGATAATTGTTTGGCTAATTGAAAGTGCATTAAATCGTTTAGCTGTTTGCAACTACTGTACGCGTTTGTCATTGAGAGCACAGGTAGTAGCGATTTGTTGGTCGACTTGTCCAGTAAACTTGTCCGCCGATTGATGGCTAGTGTCAGCGGTTGACTACCGGCGCTGAGACACAGGCGCTCTATCTGCGTGTCAAAGTGTGTGATATCATCACCGGTACTGCCGTCTGATATCTGGTCTTTTGAATGCCTTCCGTATAACCAATAAGTCTGTCGTTTTGAGAGACAATATAATATCTTATCGTTTGAAAAAAACAATTAATTATTTTTTTGTTTTTATGATTTATAATCTTCTGATTAGTTTTTCTTGTTTTTCATGAATTCTTTGCATAATTTTTTATTACTGAATAAAAAGAGACTTTTTCTCATAATTTATGTCAAACTTATTATTTATTGCAAAATAATTTTGACTTTTAAGCGAAAGATATATATAATTCTCTGTAATACGCTTATATAATATCATTAAAATTAAAAGTTTGATAACAAACATAAAAATACTATAAAATTGTATATAATTTTTGTTTTTGATAAATCTGAGAAAAATTGTATATAATTTGTACTTATATGGCAATGATATGCTAAATATGTAGCGAAAAAGGCAAACCTTCATAAATCCTTTGCCTTTTAATTGAATGGTTCCCCTTTCATAGATATCCCAGTCGTTGGGGTTCAACATGTTTTTTGTCATTTCACTGATTTGTACCATTTGTGCCTCACTTGAGCTTTCTATACGACTGGCCGTATTGACTAGTGGACAGGCATTTGGTGAAAATTATTTTTATATACAAAAAGTTTTATGGAAATTAAATTTATAGGAAATGGTTATAAAACTCAAGTCAATACCTGTGTCACCAAACAGACAATAGCTATTAATAGAGAATATATAGGAAATAGTAAATTAAATTGTAGTATACGTGCAATGGTTAATAAATAATACTGTATGGCCCCGTAAAAGTTCGGCTGATATGGCGGGTGTTGATTAAACAATAAACGTAAAAGGGTGGTAAACAAAATATATGTGCCTTAAAAATTAAGTCTAAAACATCTAATGTTAAAAATAAAATAGTAAAATCAAATTTAAGCCAATGTTAATCAATATCGAAACAAATCTGTGAAAATTATCTCAAAAACATACACACAAACGGACTCACGTGTATACTATTAGCATACCTGCGCCTAGTAATTAATTGTTTGCATGAAAAATAAAAAATAATATTACAAAATATTAATCGAGTGAATATTTTTTGTATTAATTGTGTTTTTGCTTTTTGTTTTATTGAATACAATTTATAGCATTCAATATAATCGAGAGAGGGAGAGAGAGAGTGAGAGAGAGAGAGAGAGAGAGCGTATATAATCAATTGACTGGAAGCTAAATTGTCTTTTTTGTTGGCAATCGATTATAAGTATATTTTATGTGTATTTCTTTTTGTGGGATTCATTATAACTGTTAAGANGCTAAATTGTCTTTTTTGTTGGCAATCGATTATAAGTATATTTTATGTGTATTTCTTTTTGTGGGATTCATTATAACTGTTAAGAAAACATAATAATAAATAATATACAGTTAACTATATTTCCTTATATTAAAAAACTCAAGCCCTAAGCCATGAGATCAATAATGTGATAGTACCTTTTTTGCTATACTTTTCTGTTACTGATTATGGTTTTTAAAAACAAATTTTTTAACACTTTTAATATACAGCTTATGTTATGCTATTTGATTTTGTTTGTTATGGATATTTATTATGTAAAAGTGTTGAAACAAAATCCATATTCATTATGTGTTTGATAACAAATGACTTGTATTTGAATATAATTCATATTTAATTGATATTTATATTCAAATTAAGAATTTTTCTAATAAATATTAACTCAAATCAAATATGAAATCAATGAATACTAATATAATATATAATTTTAATTCAAATGGATTATTAGATTAGAATAATAATAAATGTATTAAAAAATTGTTTGCAAGAATCGGCTTATAATCAAATATAACAAGAAATTGTATTAAATGAGTTTATACTTCAATATAAATGTGTTTTATATGTAAAAATGTTTTCTCAAACATACAAAAGTGAACGTAACTTTTACATATTGACAATATTAGTAAAGCCACTTATTTATTATTAAAAGCATAAATTATATGTTGATCATATATGTCAATTAAGTTTCCGGTGTGGACATACTTACGGAATATTAATGATAGTATAAGGGAAAGGGAGAGAGAAAAATATTGAGAGAATTAGTAATTTTTCATTAATATTATATTATATATGAAAATCAAGTTCACTATAATATTGAGAGAGAAAAACAGTTATAATAAAAAATAATTATAATAAATAAGAAAAGCATTTATATATTTATATTCCCACAATTGAGTACACAATGCATGCCATAGGACTGGTATGTAATGCTATAGTGAATGGAGTGAGGGATGAATCATAAAATAGTAATTAAGTATAGAGAATTATCCATACATTTTTTCATAAAATTATTATTATTGTTAGAATACTTTTACGTTTTGGATAATTCTGAAGTTCCCGAAACCATGTGTCTAACCCTTGTTTATATAAATTATGTGATTTTTTGTTTTAAGTCAACTATCGCTCAATACATATAAGAAACAGTTTTCTACACACAAATTGAGTTCATAAACAAAAAATAGTAAGTTATTTAAAAATAAAATAAAAAGACATACAAATAAAAAGTGATTTTTACTTTTCTATTTAGTTATATAAAAGAGCTTTTTGTTTCATAAAATAAATTTTTTATTCATCAATACATTGGATTCCATGCAATAAATCACATTTACGGTATAATACGGGATTAAAATGAAAACACAAAAACACCATAATTTCGAAATAAATATTTTTAATGCTTTAGTCCAATAAAATCATACAATAAATGCAATTATAATTACGGAAAACTCAGTGTTAATACCGATTCTAATGTTGAGATTATTACCACTCGACGGGTCCCTCAATGTGAATACAACTCGTATCATATCTAAGGCTATTTCGCATACT